CAACCTATAGTTTTGGGCACATTAAGTAAGACCTGTGTAGCTTCTGGACAGTGATAAACATACGTTCTTATTTTCCCTGTAATGCCTGTATTCATGTTGATGAAGAAGGTCAGACTAAGAGCCTTCCTCATCTACACTAGGTTTTAACGTTTGATGCTTAAAATAGCATTCTGAAGAAACTGCCCAACTTTTTACAAACCCATGTTGTGGGAGGGTACGCTGACGAACGCTGTGCGGCTATTTAAAAAACTGTGTAGGTCATAGCCTATATTTTAATTACATAAACATTATTGGACAGTTGCCTTGTCTGATGAGATACTCAACAGTTTCAAAAGACTTCAATTTCCCAAAATTCATGTGGCTTTAGTGCAGTTGAAAAAGTGACATAGAGCTGTGCTGCGCTCTCCATTGGAGAGAAGGTTATCCATGCATCGTTCTGTCGGTAGAATTTGTTACTTGTCTTCCTGGTCTCCAGCTAGCATAAGTAACTAATCTGGTTTTGTTTGAATAGAGTCGTTTGTGAATGCTGTGGCTTTTACCAGCCTTTTCCCTCCCTTTATGCCAACTTTGTTCTGTATGTACAGCAATAGACCTCTGCAGAAAGGAATGAACTGGAAGGGTGCTTTGCCCCATGCTGACGTTGATCCAATGTGTGCTTATGAAGGAAATGATTTGGGCTGAGAAAAGTGCTTGCAGCTCTTAAGTACTTGTGATTCTTTTGAGCAGATGAACAAAAAGAAAAAATCAAGAGGAGGGAGCTGGTGCTTTTGCTGCTTTATTAATTCTTCTCTGGAGTCTAGTGACTCATCTGCCCAAAGTGCAGCTGGGCACAGTGAGTCAATGTCCACCTTACTGTGCACCTGGAATACAAGAGCGTTTTTATGAAGAGCAGGAGAACGATATGGGATGAGTAGCTGAAGCCATTGGTCCTTGTCTTACCACATGCATTTCTAAGGACTCGAAGCAAAAAGCAGTGACAGTCTGGGAAAAGAAGCTAGAACTGCTCAGTTCTTCTCTGTGCTTAGTGGCATTCAGATCTGAAACTTCCAGATGTAAATGGAAACTTCTTGTGTATTGGTATAAAAGACCTGGTCTTGTATTTAGTGTGGTTGTTGGTCTTTCAATGTTTGCATATCCTGGTTTGAGATAGCTTTAATGTTGCCTAATGATTTGCATATATGCTACCTCCAGATAACTTTTGGGTATATTTGACTTCCCTGTTACCCACCTTATCTTTTGTCTTTTCTTACAATCAGGTACCTGTCACTGAACAGTCTTCCCTTTTGAATTTTTTGGGAGCAGCATTTCAGAGTCTGCTCTAAGATGATAAAACTTGTGGGTTCAGTTTCTCCTTCTGCCACCAGCTTGCTTTTGTGCCTGTTTATCTTTCAGTTTGTAATTTCCTGCTGTTTTGTAAATAGCTGGGTACAGTTTGTTAAGGTGTTAGAAATTCAAGTCTTCCCTATCTTATATGGATGCTTAAGATTCTGTATCACGTTTTATATGATCTGAAGTTGGCTTGTAATATTAATCTTTTGTCCTCTGTATCAGGCATTATGCATTAGTTGCTCTTCCCAGACATTTCTGTATCAGTGGTAATTTATATAAAAATGTATCTGTAAGACACACTATGATTAAAGTTATAAGCTGCTCTGTACCTATTTGCAGGGAGCAAAGTAAAAATGGAAACTATGGAAAGTCTGTTAGTGCCTTAAGAGATTGCATAGGGAAGTATAACATGCATTTTACTTACTAACCCGGGCTGTAAGTCTTGCCTAAGCTAAAATTAAATGCTGAAAATCCTTTCTAGAATGCCCCTCTTATCTTTGTTTTCATTACTGTCTAATCCTTGGGTTAATGCTTATTGCCTTATCAATTTACTGCAGGTACTATCTTATCTGAATAAATTTGATACTCAGAAACTCGTTATAATCATGACTGGTTTGGTGTTTGGTTTTGGGAGGGGCACGTGTTTGTTTTTCAAAGAGAGGAAGCTGGTATTCAGTTTCTTCTAGACCCAGTCTTGCAATGAGCTCTAGGGGTAGGGGTTGGTTTGCAAGCAGTTTGTTCAGGATTGGGCCGTCCTTTCTTCAGAAGTTGTAGCATCTCGCTTCTGAAATAGCGTACATAAAAGTACGTGTTTAAAATGAAAAGGCATTGTGTTTATTTTCAAAAGCAGGTGTTGAAATAATGGGAAATACAGTTGGAAGGGACGTGAAGAGGTTCTCTAATCCACTTAATGCTGAATGACATGTCATTTTTGACACGTGTAACTGCTCTTAAAACTTTCAGGAGGGAAGGCTCCACAACTCTCTTGCCAATTTATCTAGTGCTTAAATAGTTTTATTAATAGACATAGAGAAAAGCTTATTATTTTCAAGTTTTTCTTAGAGTTTTCCTTAAAGTTTGCTCTCTGAGGAGCTTGTTTAGTTCTTCTTCATTGCTACCTGTCTGTCTTCATTATTCTCTCTGGTCTTTTGAAACTAAGGAAACTCAATTACAATTTCAATTAAGGAACCTTATGCATCCCTGCATGAAGTTTGCCATTTTCATGGCACTGTCAGCTTATATTCAGCTTCTGGTCTGGTAGATCTGCTGGATCCTTCTCTGCAGTCTAGCTGCCAAAGTGATCAGTCCTTCTGAATATTTATTGGGTGGAAAGAGGTGCATTTTAAACAGTACAAAAATCCAGATTTTAGGAGACCAAAGGAAAAGGAAGTTTGTTAGGCAGTTCTTTCATAGCTCACTAATAGTAGGACTCCTTGTGTTAATTTAGAAGTCCAGGATGCTTTGACCTCAGGGTGGCTGTTACACAAATGTCTTGAAACAGTGCTGAGAAGATGCTTTTTCATAATACGCAGTGGAAAAGTTCCAGATCTGTGCACAGAATTGCTACATTCTTTTTTGGGATGAATCTTGTTGATGCAATTCGTTGTTAAACTGGTGCTTTTAAGCATTACAATACACTGAAAATAGCAAACAAATTCTGGACTTCATCTGCACACATAAACAGAATGGGATGAGGTAATCTGGGAGAAGGTGGTTATAGATGCATAGTTTCACAACAGTTACCTCTAATTTGGAATAATAAATTCTCTGATAAAGTAATCATTCTAGCTTAGAAGTAAAAGGATTATTCAGGCTCAGGCCACTGTGTGGGAAACTTGTGCAATAAATCATTGCACAAAAGTTGTAGGTTGGTTCTCCACTGACTCTTGTTCCTCCACTGTCTGCTGTGACTACATAATGATTTCATTGTGAAAGAAATCGTGATCTTTGGTTTTCTCAGGAACTAAATTCCCCAAAGACAATTTAACAATTAGCCAGGTTTTATACTGAGATTACTGTTTTTCCACTCTTGTCTTTTGGGCCAGAAAGTCAGCAAGGTCTTCATGGACAATGTTATTCTCTTTGCTTCTTCACTCTTCTTTTCCTTGTCCTTCTGTGTAGCGACTGCATATTGGGCAGCCAATTTATAGCATACTTCCTGGATTGTAAAAATCCACAGCATAGCTTGTGAAGAAAAGATTGTTCCCTGGTTAGCTTGAGAGTTCAACCAGGTCTGAACTTTGATCTTTAACATTCAGCTTTGAATCAGCTTGTGTCTGTGCTTAACCACATTCCTCTTTGGTTTATTTTTGGGAGGAGGTGTCATTTTTGTATAAGTTAGAAAAGGAAGTTGGGCTGTGAACCTTGCAAATAGTTTTCTGAAGCACGTGACTACCAAGTTAGCCAAGTTGTGTATGTTTAGGTCCTGTTATTACCATGCAATGCGGTGGCATGCCAAGATGTGACATGAACAATGGGGAGAATTGTTGAGCTTCAAATGCCTGGTGTCTCGCACCACAAGACACTGCATATATCCAGTAAGCTGCTGTTTTCAAAGCAACAGGCTTTGAAAATAATGCTATATTGTTGTGAGTATTTTTATTTCTTAACATCCTTTTTGTTTTGTTTTCTTTTTTCATCAGTACAATTTCTCTTATCCTTTTATTCATACTAGTGCTGTGGTTAATTATAGCTTCTATATTACTTTAAGAATATAGAATTAATATTCCAGATACAGGTTGCCCTTTCCAGATGGTACTGATTGAAAAGACTTACATGTATACAGAGGGAGTGATTGTGCAACAATAGAGAATGCAGTGTGGTTCTCAGAGCTGTCTGGTGGTCCTTAGGAGGAAGAGAAAAAGGGTGATGCTTCATCAGAATTGATGTCATGAGAGATTGCTCAACAAAGAAATTTGTGGGCAGACTATGGGAAGCGGGTAGGCAGGGAGAAAGAAAGGAAGTCTGCATTGAAAACACACTCATTTCTTTCTACTTTGGAGAAGGCAATGCTTAGCATTCTTATACTCTGTAATAAAATAACAATTGGTGGAGGAAAGTCACTTTAACCAACTCGTTGAAACTTTGATAAGCAGCAAAAATGGCAGCCTTAGACATATTTGAGCTTTGAGTTGGATGTACTTAGTGGTTTGGGATTTCTTTTTCCTTCAATATAAATATTTTTTATTTCAAACCACAGCAGAGATAAATAGTCTTTTTTAAATATTTGAGCTTCACCACAAACCAGGCTTATGGTAGTTAGCAGCTACCATATGACCTGTCATACTGTTTGATTTTTCAGGAGAACAGAGTGGGGAATGGGATCTGAGATACTGTTCTGGGAGAATTAGGAGAAACTGCCAGATAGCTTAGTATACTAATAAAGATGCCCCATGTCCTTGTTTTAGCATTTTTAATTTGTAAATGAGGAATTGTTGGTGGGAAAATGGTAAAAACTATCTTGTGAAAAGGAAGAGTGAAGGAAGCAGCAACAACAATGAAAACAAGATTAATATTTAATACTATCAGAAACAAATTTTATGCTGGTAAAGGTGCATTTTAATGTAGTTATCTTCTTGCTTTCTGTCTGAATAGACCCTAATTAGTGGTCACTTGCCCTCAATAAATAATGTCTTTTTTTATAATTTTCTCTCTATTATGTTTTAGATACAATGTCTGCTCCAAGTGGCATCCCTGTCCCATCTGCACCACCTTCCTATGAGGAAACAACAGGAATCAATGTGAACTATCCTCACCCCTATCCTGTCCCAGAACCTGGCCAGAAACCAGATGGGAAGGGAATGAACCCCCCGCCGTACATGGGACAGCCCGCACCAGTGACTAACCCTGGTAAGCCTGAAAACCTCTGCTTTACCTCACGTTAAGGAGGTGTCAAGTGCCTAAGTAATAGGTGTTCCGCAGAAGATCGGGGTTCACAGGTGTTCCCGACCTTCCAAAAAATATTTTTGAAGGAAATAAGGTGAATCAATTCTTGTGAATCCTTCAGTGTGCACTAATGTAAATAATATCATTTGGCTTTCTGCAGTTTTTAATGCAGACTTATTCTTAAGACAATGCGTTTCTGCGTTAGGAAATGCCATGGTGATTTCTCTTTGTCATTGTGCATTTCATTGCTCTGAGCCTCAAATATTTCAGAGTAGTAGTTGATTAACTATCTTTTTTCCTTATTTACCCATTAAGTAAACAGCATATTTCTCTGCTCAGTTACAGTTCAGACAGTGTACGTGCAGCAACCAGTAGTATTTTATGACCGCCCGGTTCAGATGTGCTGCCCTTCCTGTAACCAGATGATAGTGACACGTCTCTCGTATGATGCAGGAGCTTTGACTTGGCTGTCATGTGGTGGCCTCTGCCTGCTGGGGTAGGTTGATTCAAATTTGCATTTTATTTTTCTCTTCTTACATGACCTTTTATAGCTCTAAGGAGTGACAAAACTCTCGGCTTTGCTGCTTTCTCATTCCGTCTGGGACCAGACTCTTTATGGTTTGAATAGCCTATGTCTGCATTTAAGTCCTATAGCACCATAAAGCAGCTCTAGAACACTAGAGTGATGGACTCCATAGCCATGTGTGTTCTTCCTAAAGCTTCATGGTCCTAGTTTTACTCATGGCTTTTGTAGGAAATGTATTTTACATTCTTGTGTATGTAACAAGTGGTAAAACATTGGTTGGTTGGGTTTTTTGTCTTTGCAGGTGTATAGCTGGCTGCTGCTTAATTCCTTTCTGCATTGATGCCCTAAAGGATGTGGATCACACCTGTCCGAACTGCAGTGCTGTTGTTGGTTCTTACAAACGTTTGTAGGCAGTGTTTAAAAATCGATAATTGATTGATGAAGTTGGTTAGCACCTCTACAAGCCTGTTCTGAATCTTCGTGGAGACTTCTGGTTGTTTCTGTGCATCCTGTCACTGGAAACCAATCAAAAGTAATGTTTGAATAAGATTGTTTGAATAAGAATTTGCTTGAGGGGATTCTGCCTTAGGTCTGTAAAAAGTATGTGTAATCTTTATGGGCCACTCAGTCCAGCACCAGTTGATAGCAACTAAATGTTTTCCCTTTCTGCTTTATGCAAAACAGGTTTGTGATGTTCTTCAGTTAATCTTGTCTCAATCATGTTGCGTGCTGATATGCTTGCTTACAGTCTCAGCACAGACCAAGAGGAGAACGTCTATGGAGACTGACTATATAGTCTCATGCTTGGTGTTGATGATTTTGCAACAGCACTGTTTACAAACTGGCAGGAGTTGCTTGCCTCTGAAACAGGTGCCTTTCTTTGACAAAAGAAGTGATTTGTTGGCATCTTTTCATGAGCACTAAAATTCACTTTAAAACTTTGAGTTGAAAGAGAACCAAACCTAAAGGCTTCTTCTTTCTTAGAGGCTTCTTTACCAAATGGACAGCTCAGGTTATTGCGCATCAATGATGAATCAATCTAATACCTGAATTTCCTTGCCAGTTTTAAGTCTAGTCATATCTCTGCTCTGCAGTAAAGATATTCATGCAGGAATTTTTGATACTTTTTCAGTGTTTCATGTTTGGTTGGGGTTTTTTACTGCTGATTTGTAAGTCTGTGAAGTATTCTCTCCACCCTAGTGGAAATACCCATAGAGCCTTAGTTATAGCATTGGAAAACTTCCTTTTACATTTAAGTCAACTGATAGATCATAAACAAACCTCAGCCTTATCTTAAGGCTTGAATTCCACCTGCAAAACACAGATACAGGACCTGTGCTTTTAATTGTTGAGCTGTTTGTTAATTACTGTTTCTTCATTAAGAAGGTAACATGTTTGTTAAGGAGTTTCTCTGATTATTTAGACTTGTACTCTGATTTTTCTAAATTAAAGAGAAGTTCTGTTTTCAGAAACTGGATATACTTAAGACAACGATCACAAAAAATTAGGGAATGAGGCTCTGAAGATTGAAGTATTTTACCATGTCATAAGCAGCAGACTTGGTCCAAATAACATTTTGATGCATTTGAATGATACCTGTCTAGAAAAGGCAGACAGGTGTTTAAACAAGGCTATGATGCTAACACTGTATTAATCTCTGTAAATGTAAATAGCTAAAATAAATACAAATTACTGTATTTACTGTTCTTGCCAAATGTGCCTTCTATAAATATTTGGTGTAACTTAACTTTTCAAAAATCCTTCAACACTTCATGTTTGAAATCAAGGAGTTTTGTGGGTCCTCTAGGTCTTGTGTTAATTACAGATAAAAAGGTGGTAGTTTTTTGGCTTTACACTTTGGTGCAATACTAGCTCATGTTTTCTGGCTGGTGCTGCACCACTGTAATGCTTTCAATGTTCTTGAAGGGCCTGGGTGATGCTCTATTGAATTTTCTGTTCTGGTGACACAGGCACTGATTCTAACTTATGCAAGTTACGTGCACTACTGTAAAGCAGGTTCCCATCCCTGCCCCTGGATTTCACAGAAAATGCATTTCTTATTAGTTTATCATCAGAGCAAGACAGGAAGAAGCAATGAAGCATACAGTGTTTCCAAACTTGGTGGTTGCTTGCATAGTGGGAAGGATTTTTAGTTCTTTAGTACCCATGTCAGTCTGGTCAGGATGATCTTGCTGGATATTCATTTGGTGAGTAAGTTTTCCAATCGTTATTCCCTTAGCTCCCCTGTTCTCTACAAAGTGATGGCTGGAAAATCTGGTGGCACCAGAATGCAGAACAACAGCTATTCCATCTAACTGTGCATTCTGCAAAACTTTCTGCTGCACCTTCTATACTTAAATTTCCTTAAATACAAAGCCTGTGTTTGTTCTGTTGTGTATGGAATTATCTACAGAATGCGCCAAAGTAACTTGCTTTGTTAAACTTTAGACAGACAAATGCAGGATTTAACTTGCTTTGTGTGAAAGTGCTTTGTGTTTGATTATATTGAAGTTACTGTTTGTTTTTAAAACTGATTGTAGTTAAAATAAAAACTTTGTCTTTCATATCTAGTGCTTGTAATCAGAAAATTTTAACATTTGGAATGTTTCCAAACACATGAATGGCTGAAATGTTAAAATTCAAGAATCAAAGAAATGTAATCACAGGGTGAAATTTTTCAATCTCACTTGACCCAAGTCTCTGAAAAATGGCATTCTCTGGCCTGCAGACCAACTGTTTACACACAGAGCCACATTTGAAAATACGTTGTTTTTCTTGCATTTCAGGCCCTTGAAATATTTTTTTTCAGTTATAACTCTTTTGGGTAAAACTTTCATTTGCAATACAACTAAATAAACATAGATATGGCTACATTGTTACATGCCAGTGACTGAGAGGGAGAAAATAGATATCAAATATCTTTATGTTCAGTTGGAAATAATCCCTATAAATCATGTGAGAATACTCTGCTTTTTTAGTGTCTGAAGCACTTTTTTTTTCTTCTGAGATGCAGAAAATACAGGAATGTAAGATTAATACCTCAAACAGTTTTGTTCTAATGTATCGTTTTTATTATTTTTATTAAGCAACATTTTGGTTAATTGGTTAATAAGCAAGTCAAGTCATGAACAAATAGTTTTTCCTCTGTTGATAGATACAGAAGTGGCATGCTGACTTTTCCACAGATAAGTAAGGAAGGGGCGCAAGCCATCTGAAATCCTCCAGCCTCGCATGACAAATTTGGGTGAAGCCTTCCCATACCCCTCCTGCCCCCCTTCATTAGCTTTCCAGGATGACGTCGCTTTCTGTTACACTTTGACAGTGTTATTTCCATTAGACTTATATTTTTAATTGACAAAACTTGCACGACGTTCTGATGAGGCTTGAGCCACAAGGAAATAAAATTTGTTTTGCCATGCAAAGAGGATCCAAAATAAAAGCTGTTAAAAGAAGTAAAAAGCAGCTGATAGCCTTACCAAAGGGATTTGTTAAGCAAGAGCAGAGTGGTTTCAAAAAGCTGCTATTTATTGTAGTGTTTGTGAAAGCACTTCTGGCAGTTTAACCACAAGTTCTTTTTTGAAGAAATGAGTTGTGATTTGTGTACTGAAACCTGGTTATTTATTCTTCATAACTGAGCAACAAAAGGTGAGTAATGGAGTATACACTGTCATCCTAGGAATAAAAACTATGAAGTGCAAGTACTTGGCAGGGGTGTGAAGTGTTTACAGTTCAAATGAATTGTATTTTATAGCAAATTAACCGTTGTGTTCCTATTTTCTTGATCAAAGATGCAATGTGACACATTCATTATCTTTAGGATGACTTTTAATGTATTGTGAGGTGAATACTGTCATGTATGATGTGAAATAAATTCTCCAATGAGTGTCTTACTGCTTTTTCAAACCAGGACCCCAGAAGGTGGATGGTGAAACCTGCTGATTTCAAAAGAAATGCTTCTTATTATAATTAAATTTTTTGTTACGATTTTTTGTTTGTTTAAGAATCTGAAAATCTGGAGTCTGTTGGAGCAGGTGGCTGTGGCTTACAGATGCTAAAAGTAGTTGTGCTCAAGTCTAGAATAAACCAAGAGTGAGTAGGAGGCTTTTGAAAGTCTTTTTGCGGTTGCATGTTTTGTGTCATGCAACTTCTTGGTCTTTGTAACCAAAGGAAAAAAAAAAACTTCGATGAGCTCCAGAGGATTATTACATTAACGGGGTGCATGTCCGTCACTGCTTTGGGCTCTCAAGCCGGCCCTGACCCTTTTGGGGGCTTTTCGGCGCCTTCCAGCGC